CTGGTTAAGGCTAAGAGCACGGCTCATCTTAAAAAAAGGGACAAGGTCACCCAGGATCTTCCCCCAGAGGGGGGGGATCAGGAAGATTACTTATTCACTGAGAAAGCACCTGTGGTGGATGCTGTACCTGTGCCCCAGACGTTTATGAATGTGATTAAAAAGCAGTGGGAGTCCCCTGGGGGGTACACTCGCCCCAGTGGGTCTGAGTCTACCTTATTTAATGGGTGGCTGCCGCAGCTGCAGGGTAGAATCCCACCTGAGGGCCTCAGGGTGCATCAGGACTTAAATAAGATAATAGCCACAGCTCAATCGTCAGCTAATGCCACCCTCACGTCAGCCAAAACTTCTTCCAGAGCCATGGCCTCATCTGTAACAGCTCATCTGGCTAAGAAATTGGCAGATGGATGCCAGAAACAAATGGAAGCTGGCGTTTGCTCCCTTCAAGGGAGAGAGGCTTTTGGAAAGGCCCTGGATCCCTTTTTTTGATGGAAACCATGGACAAGTGAAAGATCCTGCCCTCCCAGGGGAGGCGTTTTGATTACAGGTCTCTACCCTACTACAGAAAGCCCTCCTTTAAACAGGGGGAAGCTGGAGCAAGCTTTCCCCATCAAAGTAGGTCCTTCTTCCAAAGATCCTCATTTCAGGCCGATAGACCAGCCTTTGCCGCCAGAGGGCATCAGAGGCAAGATGACAGAAGGTCCTTTCGGGATTCCAATAGATCTTTTAGATGCAAAAAGTGACACCGAAGCCTCGTCTTCCACAGGGGGTCGTCTGGGACTGTTCTGGCAGAGGTGGGAACAGATCACGATGGACGCTTGGATCCTGACATTTATAGTCAGGTCTCTCTCGGGAGTTTATTTCCTCCCCCCCCCCCATGCCTTTGTGTGCTGCCCCGTCTCAAGGGACCCCTCAAAGAGGGATCTCATGGAATCGGCGATCCTCCATCTGCTGGACGTTTAGGCCATCCAGCCGGTTCCTGGAGACCAGGAGAGACAGAGGTTCTATTCAATTTGGTTTGTGATTCCAAAGGCGGGGGGGTGGGGGGGTGGCGAGCAATCCTCAACTTGAAAGGGCTCAACAGGCATCTAATCTACCAAAGATTCAAGGTGCACTCCTTCCACTCTATCCTACAGGGCCTGCGGGAGGGAGATTTTTTTTTGGCTTCGGTAGACCTGACAGAGGACTACCTCCCATGTGCCCATAGACCCCAACCACTGTCAGTTCCTGAGGTTTTGCTATGGCGGCCACCATTTTCAATACAGGGCTCTCCCGTTCAGCCTGTCATCAGCCCCACAGACTTTTACCAAGCTCCTGGTGGCCGTAGCGGCATACCTCAGATCCTTACCCATAAGGATCCTATGCTATTTGGACGACATCCTGGTAGTATCCTCTTCCAGACCCCAGGTGGAGGAGGATATGATGTCAACAATCAGGATCCTTCCAGAGCATGGGTTCTCGATAAACCTGGACAAATGCCACCTAATACCATTGAACTGTCTCTTGCATTTGGGGACTATCATAGACACCTTAACTTACCAGGTCTTTCTCTCACAGGAGCATCAAGATAGTATAAGGGACGTCACATCACAGATCCTGTCTGACAGAGAGGCACCTATCATCTTGCTGTCTCAACTTCTCGGCAAGATGATATCGTCCATTGGGATCGTCCCAGGGCCCGCTTCCTGCCCAAACCCTGCAGTGATTCCTGCTCCCCTACTAGAAGGCGGGCAGGGGCGACTCACCAAGGAGGGTTCACGTCTCCTTGCTAGTTCTTCATTCTCTCCATTAGTGGCAGTCCTGAGCCATGGATCAGGGTTGCTTGTACAGGGAGCCCCAGAGGACTACCATCACCACCGACGCCAGTCTGTATGGTTGGGGGGCCCCTCCTGGGAGTCCAGATTAGGTGGTCATGGGAGGAGCTCGCCCACAACATAAATTGGCTAGAGCTCAGGGCTGCCCGCTTAACTCTCAAGGATCTAAGGCAGGAGGTGATGGGGAGACAGGTTTTTCTCCTCACAGACAATGTGGCCACCAAGGCCCACATAAACCGGCAGGGAGGCACTCGCTTCAGATCTCTAATGCAGGAGGCGACTCAGTTGTGCAAGTGGGCAGAGAGATACCTGTTGTCCCTGCAAGCAGAAAACATCTTGGGAGTTTCCAATGTGTAAGCAGACTGGTTGAGTAGGTCCACAGTCGACCAGTCAGAATGGCGACTGCATCCCAGTCTGTTCCAGGAGATGACAGAACGGTTCAACCATCCAATTCTGGATCTCTTTGCATCTCCAGAGAACTCGCAGCTCCCGAGTTTCTTTGCACAGTTCCCAGCACCAGGAGCAGAAGGGGTCAATGCTCTCCGGTGCAGATGGCCCCAAGGGCTATTTTATGCCTTCCCTCTTCCCCTGATTCCGGGAACAATCAGAAAGGTACTGACAGAGAGGGCGGAGATTCTGTTGGTAACCCCTTTACTGGCCCATGGTTCGCCTACCTGGTGGAACAGTCGGTCACCAGACCCTGGAGAATTCCCCTGCATAGGATCTCCTTCAGCCAGGGCCTGATTGAGCACCCAGATCCAGCCTGGTTTCGGTTGACCGTCTGGCATTTGAGTGGGTGCTCCTGAAACAGGAGTAGTTTTCCAGAAGGGTCATTCAGACCATACAGGCGGCCAGAAGACTTCCACGACCAGCATATATGATGCATCATGGAGGATTTTCTGCGGCTGGTGTGCCAGTCACCTATTGGAACCTACTGCTATGTCTGTGGCAAATGTGTTAGAGTTCCTGCAGGTCGGGTTGGACAGAGGTCTCACCCCCAGTACCTTGAAGAGACAGGTCTTGGCCTCGTTTTTTTCGGTCAAGGATTCAACCACTCTGGCCCAACACCCCAGGGTGAAAGCCTTCTTTAGGGGAGCCACTAATTTGAAGTCACCGGTGGTCCATCGTTTCCCCACCTGGGATTTGCCTAGGGTCCTGCAGGCACTGACTTCTCCCCCATTTGAACCCTTGTGTGAAGTCAGTCTTCGCCTACTCACGTGCAAGGTGTCATTCTTAGTGGCCATTATTTCAGCCAGGCATATCTTGGAGTTGACGGCCTTATCCATCAGAAAGGACCTGTGCGTTTTCCATGCAGACAGGGTGGTTCTGTGGTTAGACCCTACCTTTCTGCCCAGGGTGAACTTATTCCATCGCTCACAGGAGTTAATTTTGCCTGACTTCTGTCGAGGGCCTACCCATGCACTGGAGAGAAAATGGGACACCTTGGACGTTAGGAGGGCCCTTCGTATGTATATCAAAAGGACCTCCTCTTTTAGGAGGACTGAAGCCTGTTCGTTTCCTTTCAGCCGTCAACTTTGGGTCGCAGGATGACACCATCTACCGTGGGTCGCTGGCTTCGCCTGTATTGCAAAGGCCTATGAGTTACTGGCTCTTCCTGTGACCAGGAAAATCACTGCACACTCAACCAGGAGTGCAGCGACCACTGCAGCCTGGGCAATGCAGGCTTCGGTTCTGGACTTTAATAGAGAGGCAGCTTGGTCATCTGTGACCCCATTCATAAGACATTATAAAATTGAATCCTTTGCCTCAGCAGAGGTGTCCTTTGGAAGATGAGTCCTGCAGGGTGTTCATGTAGAAGTGGGGACCTCCGACCAATCCAGTTGCCTCCCATAGGACAGCCATCAGCCAGCTTTGGTGTGTCCCATCCTGGATTCTCCCTTCGGCTCAGTGGAGAAGGGGCGTTGGTCCTACCTGAACACTTCTTCTCGGGGAGCCGAAGGGAGAATCCAGTCCCACCCTGTATTCTGTCAGGTCGGAGTAGGGAGGAAATGTTTTTTTTCTCGCAGTACCAAATAGGCTATCTGTTAGAGGACTAGGAGCAGCTGGATTCGCTTCGATGTCGTTCAGAACTTGGGACTGTTACCGGGGGGGGAGGGGGTGTCCTCAATTTTTCAACTTGGTCTGCAGAGCTATGAGACTAGAGACTACCCATCCTGGATTCTCCCTTCGGCTCCCCGAGAAGAAGCATTCAGGTAGGACCAACGCCTCATTTCAGACAAGTGACTGCCCAATCTCTTCTTAAAAGCCTCCAGTGATGGAGCACCCACAACTTCTGACAGCAAGCTGTTCCACTCATTAATTGTTTTGATTGTTAATTGTTTTTACCATCAGAAAATTTCTCCATTCTTCTCTCCTTGATTATTCTGGTGCTTTGGAAAATAGGTTGACCCCCCTTTTTTTTTGTCTCCCTAGTCCTCCTCCTCACTAGACTAGACATACCCAATTCCTGCAGCCGTTCTTCTTATATTTTAGCCTGCAGCCCCTTAATCCTATCTGTTGCTCACTCTTTCCAGAGTCTCAACATCTTTTTTATATTATGGTGATCAAAACTGGATGCCGTATTCAAAGTGTGGTCTCACTAAGGCTTCGTAAAGTGGCTCTAATGCTATGTGTGATCTTGATTCTAACCCTCTGTTAATGCAGCCTAGTAAATTAATACAATAACGCTACCTTAATAATGCCTATCTTAAGCAACTCTGGGAAGTTACAGAAATTACAATTATACCTCAAAACTCTTTATCATCCCACCTTTGTTCTAACAAATGCTATATGGTGTTTAAAATCTTTTTAACTTTAATATTTAATTTAATTCATTTAGTAAAACTGCCAATATATCAGAGGAAAATACAGTAGAGTAGTAGAGTGTAGAATAGGGTAGGGTAGAATAGAGAATAGAATAGAATAGAACAGAATAATAGAACAGAACAGAACAGAATAGAATAGAATAGACTTCTCCATGCATAGAATAGAATAGAATGGAATGGAATGGAATGGACCTTGGAGGTCTGCTAGTCCAACCTCCTAGTATGTATACTTGGCTGAGAATTACAACTAAGCATAAGGTCACCCCAGATTTCATTCTGAGTCTCCCCAGTGTTAAACCCCACTGTGTTTGGTTTTCTCAACCAGAATTATTTGAAAATAAGGCCTTGTTTCTTGTTCCCACAGGTCACGCTCCAGTAGTCATGTCAGTCAGCGTCCATGAGAACCGTAAATCCAGGACCAGCACCGGCTCAATGAATATCTTGCTGTTCCACAAAGCCTCTCATTCAGACTGTGTCTTGTCTCACCTCAACGCAATGAGAAAGCACTGCATGTTCACAGATGTTACACTCTCTGCAGGGAACAAATCCTTTTCGTGCCACCGTGCAGTGTTAGCTGCTTCCAGTCGATATTTTGAAGCCATGTTCAGCAACGGCCTTCGCGAGAGCTTAGGGGATGAAGTCAATTTCCATGACAGCCTCCATCCAGAGGTGTTGGAACTGCTGCTGGACTACGCTTACTCATCCAAGATCATCATCAACGAGGAGAATGCAGAGTCCCTCCTGGAAGCTGGAGACATGTTGCAGTTTCATGACGTCCGAGATGCAGCTGCAGAGTTCCTCGAGAAGAACCTTTGTCCTTCCAATTGCTTGGGGATGATGGTCCTGTCAGATGCTCACCAGTGCAAGAGGCTTTACGAGTTCTCTTGGAGGATGTGCTTGGTCAACTTTGAGACGATCCACAGGACTGATGAATTTAACAACCTCTCCAAGGATACGCTGCTGGACTTGATTTCCAGCGATGAACTAGAAATTGAGGATGAGGAGAAGGTCTTCAAGGCAGTTATCCATTGGGTGAAGTACGACTTGGACAAAAGGAAGCCCTTTCTCCCAGAGCTTCTAAAGAACGTGCGGTTGGCCTTGCTGCCTTCTGAATGCCTCAAAGAAGCCATGGCCTACGAGGAGCTGATCACCACAGAGGAGGAGAACAAGGAAATCATGGGTGAAGCTCTTTGGTGCAAGAAGAAAATCCTGCAGAACGATGGGGTGGTCACCAGTCCTTGCGCCAAGCCCCGCAAAGCTGGGCACACGCTGCTTATCTTAGGTGGGCAGACATTCATGTGTGACAAAGTCTATCAAGTCGACCACAAAGCAAAAGAGATCATCCCTAAATCAGACCTGCCCAGCCCGCGGAAAGAGTTCAGCGCCTGTGCCATCGGCTGCAAAGTTTACATCACTGGAGGGAGAGGCTCAGAAAATGGGGTGTCCAAGGATGTCTGGGTCTATGACACGGTCAACGAAGAATGGTCCAAAGCTGCCCCCATGCTGATTGCTCGGTTTGGACACGGCTCAGCCGAGCTTGAGAACTGCCTCTATGTTGTGGGTGGTCACACCGCAGTGGCGGGCATTTTTCCTGCTTCTCCTTCGGTTTCACTGAAGCAGGGGGAGAAATATGATCCGGTTGTCAATAAGTGGACCATGGTTGCTCCCCTGAGGGATGGGGTCAGCAATGCTGCAGTTGTAAGCGCCCGGCTCAAGCTTTATGTCTTTGGTGGGACCAGCATTCACCGGGATATGGTGTCCAAAGTCCAGTGCTATGATCCGACTGAGAACCGGTGGACTATCAAAGCTGAATGCCCCCAACCCTGGCGTTACACGGCTGCTGCTGTCTTGGGTAGCCAGATTTTTATCATGGGGGGAGACACGGAATACACCGCGGCGTCTGCTTACCGTTTCAACTGTGAAACGGATCAGTGGACCCGCATTGGGGACATGACGGCTAAGCGGATGTCCTGCCATGCATTGGCTTCAGGAAACAAGCTGTATGTAGTAGGGGGCTACTTTGGGACGCAGAGATGCAAAACGTTGGACTGTTACGACCCCACTTCCGATACCTGGAACTGTATCACCACGGTGCCTTATTCCCTCATCCCCACAGCTTTTGTTAGCACATGGAAACACTTGCCTGCCTGACACACGGGAGCACTGATTACAATGGAGCACAAGAGGTAAGTTTTCTTTAGGAAAGTTCCACTTAAGTATCACTCACCTGTCCTTTTTTTGAAGGAAAGCCCTTTTTAAGGTGGAAATATCTCCAGTTCACAAGTCTAGAAGATCTGAGAAAAAAAAAAAATTGGGAAAAAAGTGAGTTTGGATAGTTGCGTTTTGAACATTGTTTAGATGTTATTTATTTAACGGAGTGTAGATTTTAAGTGTAAAGAACAGTAATATGTCATGAGAAAGACTTAAAGCAATAAATAAAAAATATGGCACTTGAAATATTTTGGGGAACAATAAAAATATACTGGAAGTTAAATGTCTGGACCAACGAAAACATCATTAGGTCCACCATTAGGCCTGGCTTAAGAAATAGCAATAACACTTAGATTTATATACCACTTCATAGTGCTTTACAGATCTCTCTAAGCTGTTTACAGAGTCAGCATATTTCCCCCAACAATCTGGGTCCTTATTTTACCCACCTCGGAAGGATGGAAGACTGAGTTAATTTTGAGCTGGTCAGGATTGAACTTCTGGCAGTGGGCAGAGTTAGCCTATACATTCTAACCACTTCACCACTGCAGCTCTTAGGTGATGTGTTTTTCCACGGACACAATGTCAGGATTCCGGCAGTTCCTCTAATTAAATCATGAGCCTCAAGCCACACTCCCAAAACTTCTTTTGTTTTATTAGAAGTTAACATGCTGGCATTTGCCTGGACGTAGACGACTCTGAGATACGTAATTCACTGTCACCCTTGATCCTGCTTTTCCCTGCACCCCTCTGGGTGTATCATCCAACGAAACACGTCCATAGCCAAGAGTCATCAATCATGCTCTCCAATTAGATTTTTGCATGGCAGAAGCTTCAGTCATCTAATCAGTCTCTGAAGAAAATATGAGTGGAATGTACTTTTGATTCCACAATGCTGCCTGCTCTTTGAAACTCCTTTCTGTTGACAACTATAAAACATGTATACAATATGTTTTATGAGTTGACACACAACCTCCACTTACTGCCTTCCTTTCTGCTTACAGAGTTATTTAAAGTATATTCTGATACTGAGAAGGATGGCAAACTTATTCTCAGCCTTACCAGGTGGATTAGACAGAAAACATGATCAGTTGAGCTAATTCTGCTTTTATTGGAAGGGTACTTATATAGAGTTTTCCAAGTCTGAAAGTACAATTCGCCCTGCCTCCTTTTAAAAAATTTAAATGACCCTGCAATCCCTTGTATTAGGGTGGACTCGGGGTGGCTGAATGGAGCTGAGCCTTTACCGGCTGGATGCCCTTCCCGATGCCTATGCAGGGTTCACAGCAAATAATCACTCATTGTGCCCAGAGAGAGAAATTTCTGCCCCAACCTAGGATTGAACTCGCAACCTCCTGATTGTGAGATCGAGAGCTCCACCTCTAAGCCACCATGCCACTCTTTCTCCCTGTCCCCTATACACTTGAGAAATTAGGGAGGATCTCTTTTGAGATTTTGCCCCACTTATTATCCATCTGAGGGCTATGTTGTCTCTTATCTGACCATTCCTAAGGCTCCGAGCCCAATCTCCCATGATTAGTTCCTCATATACAAGCTCATTACATCTGTGTAGCTTCAGCTGAAGGTACAGAAGCAATAGTGCTATGAAAAAAAGCTTGTCTCTTTAGCTTAGTCCGAAGAGTGCCGTAAAAATTTATCAAACTGTAGAGGCGCCCAGCTCCTAGACAAATTCCTTTATTGCTAGAGATAGAACAGTCGCTCCAGTAATTGTGTGGCTAGATTTACAAATTAGTGTAGATTAGTGTAGGCTAGATTAGTGTATCTACCCTTCAGTAGATTTGATTTTAGCTTTGCTTAGTGTATGTGTCAAGACAGCCTTCTTTTGTCTGTCTGCAAAGGATGGAGCCCTGTCTGAGCACAAACACAAAACAAGCACCCTACTTCGTAATGACACTGCCCTATGTTCTCACTGGACTTGTTCAGATATTCTTGGCTGCTAATAACTGCTTTTCCAAATTTTAGCTCAGCTCGGCCGTGACCGTTTTCTCTAGTTCCCAAATCCTGCTCCAGCAGCCCAGGCATCTGTGAGCTTGTCGTTCAACCGTTAATTACTTTCGCAGTACGTGGGAAAAGTCCATTTTCAAGCTCAGTTTACAGAGCTCTTTAAAGATCTGCATTCACAGTGGGAATAAAATTTATATGTCTGTCACGCAGGTGCCATCTGAATGCCAAAACTGCAAGCCAAATACACCCATAGGCAGATTTTGAGACGGCGCTGAAGGATTTTAAAAACTGAAATAAAAGCTGAGCCATTTTTCCTCTCCAACAGCTAGTGATTTCCCCTGGAAAATCCCTTTGGACAATGCACATATTGTTCTGAGATGCTCTGGCCTCTTATAACTTTTGGCTGGTGAGATTTCTTTGTTCTTGCATTTGTGATTTCCAGAGATCCCTTTCGCCTTGGCTCAGATTAAGAAGGTCTTCTGAATAGCCAATGTCTTGATTTCTAGGTTGCTTTGTTTGGGGTGCTCTACCCTGTTCCAGGACAAGATTTAAATGCTTTCCCCCCTCAGACATTCTGCTGAATCTCTGGGAAAGAATCAAGGGATTGATCAAAATTAAGGGAAAAATGTGTTGGCAATTCTTAATATCAAGTTGCATATTAGCTAGGTTTTCTATTAGTTATTTCTTGACTTGCATTTCATGCCAAGTTGTAGCTGCTTAACCATGACCTGTTGGCCCGAGACACAGCTGTCTGTCCACAGGTGTGCAGAGGGTGTGCCAACAGGTATTTAATGCAAACAACCATAACACTCCCATAACACTCTTAAGGCAAAAGCTTACAGACCAGATTTTGGATTTCCACTCATTTAGCAAACATTCAAAGTTGCAATGGCACTCCAAAAAGTGATTTACAAGCAGTTCTCACACATCATATCCCCTGATTTTCCACTTGGTGACTGCATCATGGATGCAGACTATGGTCCCTAAGCGAAAACTACCTGTAAACTTCATTATTGCAGATTATATGAGCAGAATCTTCAAAAACATCCCTGCCCTATTTGAAGGACAGCAAGGCCCAGGTGGAGCTGTTCCGAATCTCTTTTACATTTTTCCTCCTCAAAGCCAGAGGTAAATTCCTCTACGGTGGCTGAATATGAAATTCCTTTATACCATTTCTGTGGCAGCAAGTTACATATATATTTTCCTTCTCTGCATTAAGCCGTTGCCAGTCATTCCCAAGCTCCTTAAAACTCTGAAAGCCGATAGTTTGATTGCACCTTAGTTGTTAAGCATTCATTTTTCCTCTGGTTATTCTGTGGGAAGGGGAGGATCATTTCAAAAGAGAAGTTTTGGAAACAGGCCAAAGATGACAGTCTAATGTTTGTGAGCTGCATGTGTTCCCTTGTGAGCTCAATTTGTGAATCTCTTCAAGATTCAGCTACTCCTGATGGACTTCCAGTTTGGGCTTCTTCAGCAACGGACCAAAATCCACAATTGTTCGTGGTTTCGATCTGTGCTTGCCGCTGGAGCACCCCAAGCCGCTTGGATTCGGGGCTAAGCTGCCCCGTAGATGTGGTGAAGAGGGGGGAGACTGCCAGCGGGGTTGAGGAGAGCCGCATCTCTCCTCCTCAGCTGGCCATTGCTCCCTTTCCCGAAGGTGGTTGCAGCGGTGGTCAGAAATGGCCACCTCAAAGAAGAACCCGACCAGACAAGATTGTGTAGGAGGAAGATAAAAGAGAAAGTTTTGACTAACCAGGTCAAACTGAGAAAGCAACTATACAAGGTATCCTGGATTTTGAACTATAAAGAATAATACTGTTCCCAAAGAAGATTTTTGAAGTGGCGAAAGAAAGAAGAAAGGGAAAAGATTTGGTGTTTTTTTCTCTTACATTGACAGTTGTAATTGGCTTTAAATGCTAAGAAGAAGTGATCTAAGCAAGAAATTGATATAAATCCACTTTGACATTAATAGGCAATTTTAAGCTGAAAATAAAATGTCAAAGGGATAATAAAGACTTTTGGATATTTTAAAACCTTTAAAAGGAGGAAAGGAGAGGAAAAGAAAGAAAAGGGTGGGATCTTGAAAAAATGGAGGAGACCACCTGAAATTAAAAAGAATTAACAGTGAAATTTCAACAAGACTCCTAAAAGATACATTGAATTGAAACTTTGCTACAAGATAATAGAACCTCCGAAAAGAGAAAGTGGAAAAAAGAAGCCAGAAGAAACAGTTTTGGATTATTCGGATTACTTGGTGATTTTTGGAATTTTGGTTGTTGGATTTTAATGACTAAAATTAATTGGGTGGTTGTTTAAAAGTGTTTAAAATGGCATCACTCCTTGAAGAGCTAAAAATGGAACTTAAAAAGCAGAAAGAAGATGCACAAGAGGGAAGAGGATCTTTTGGCTTCATATTTCAATTTTTAGAAATGGAGATTTTGAATTATGAAAAAAAACAAGAAATGCTTGCACAACAAGAAGGGCGGGACAAAGAAGAAGCCATCTTTAATGATCAAGTAATTCTATGTGGGGTTAAAAAGCAAAAGGGGGGAAAGGGAGTGAAAAACCTAAGATCTGAAAAAACAACCAAAAAAAAAAGAATAACTTGAAAAGTAATTACAATACTAGGAAGAAGCAGAAGAGAGGATTACAGAAGGGAGAATTAGAACTAGACAGAAAGAGGGTCAAAAAGGCAAGGGAGAAGAAGAGGAGGAAAATGGAAAGGAGAAGAAGTTATAAAGGACAGAAACAGGATGTAGAGAAGCAGGGAAATGTTCAAGGATTCACAGAGATAATGGTTGAAAACCTAATTGAAAGAGAGGATTCTGCAAGGGTACATTAGATAGTATTGTTATATTAGAAATAGTAATGGGTATAGAAAATATGAAATATAGGTAATTAAAGTGATAGATAAAGTTGGTACTGTTATGTAATGGAATGTAACTAAATGAAATAAAGAGAATAAGAGAATGGAAGTGGGAAAGGATGGGAATATTTTAACTTATCAATGATTTATTAAAATATAATTGAAAAGAAATATGAATATCAGATATTGATGAATTTGAATAGAATAACAATTTTATTAATTACTTTACTTCCTTTTCTGTTTAGAACGTAATGATTCTTAAGGGAAGGTACCAAATAGAACTTGGTTGATAAATTATATAAAATGGAATGCTACAATTGTATTTTTTAGAATCTAGTGAGTATTTATGTGGGAATGTACTAAGCAGAATTCGGTTGATAAGAGTTATATGTTATAAAATAGAGGTTAGAAATTTAATGTTATAACTGTTAAGATATAAATTAAATTTTAAAAGAGATTTGAATGTTCAGTAGTTTAAAGATACAAAGGTGTTACACTCCAGTTAATAATTACAGGGGAAATCTTGTTTTATAAGAAAAGAAAATATGAAAGTGTAAATATGACAGACAAAAGTATAAATATAATGATTAGAAAGATAGTGAAATTTAGAATAAGATGAATATGTAAACGAGTTTATGTCTGTATAGAGAAGTGATAACCTGGAATCATGCTGTTCTCAAAAAGACATTTTAATTGTATGTTTTGTGAAAACCCAAATAAAAATTTACCAAAAAAAGAAAAAAAGATTCAGCTACTCCTGCACTTTGCTTAACTGCCAGTCCTGAAGCTTTGATTCAAATGAATGCCACAGGGGCCGAGGGCATTGCCCTCTCACAAAATGCTCTTCTGAATCAAATCTGCCTTTAACTAGCCACAAAACTCATCAGCTTGTCGCATAGATTAAAACTCTCTTTTTACGACCCTGTAATCCCTTAATTTGGGGTAGAGTTGAGGTGACTGGATGGAGCATTTACAGACTGGATGCCCTTCCCGATGCCACACAGAGTCACATAGACAGTTGCAAAAATTCAGTTGCAGTCATTGCAGAACTGGATTTCACTTCTACAACCTGTTGCCTGTTCTGTGTCCCCGCTTCTGCCCCACTCTTTTTGCCCACTACTTCCATTTCCTAATATTATGGAGTGGACGAATGTTGTGGGTTGCCACATGGATGAGGCAAACGACAAGCCACTTTCCTATTCCCCAACAGAGATAAGAGATAGTGTGCTCTTCATAGTACTGGCATTTGCTGCTAAACTTTCACATCAAACTGTTGGGCCTCCCTTCTTTCATTCAGACTTTTTCTCTTTCTTGCCTTCTCTCTAGACTGCGTTCATACCTCATACTAAGCACAATGCTTAATTGTATATATTTATTGCCGGGGTGGGATTCTACCGGTTCGGCCCGGTTCTATAGAACTGGTAGCTCCGAAGAGCAGCTGACACCAAATTGGTTCACTGCAACGATATTGGGGTCTTCTGTTTGGCCCACCCAACTGCCCGGGCTCTAGGCTGTGCTTTATTCCCTGCATTTTCCACCTCAGCTGCTTCGTGCGGCACAGCCGAGTGATGCGTGACAGCAGGAGAAGGTGAATGCTTGCCGGAGCCGTGATTTGTAAATAGTGCGCATGCATGCATCGTGCAAAGCGCACGCTCACTGAACCGGTTGTTATGCCAGTAGGATCCCACCCTTGTTTATTGCTGCAATGAGAGCAAGCCACATTTAGCAATACGCTAAGCCAAAGTTAAACCAAGTCAGAGCTTAATGAATTATGTGAGTTCTGTCCAGATCTTTCATACTCTCCTCGCTCTTCCTCTTTTTTTTCTTTTCTTATCCTCCTCCTCTCCATTTAATCTGTATAGATTTTTTTCCACATATAACAGTGAACCCAGATAGCAGGAATCCAGAACTGTCTCCTGCTAGCTTTCCCCCCTTTCTCATATTGGAGTGGCTGAAATGATCATGTGACACAACATCTTTTAGTTACCGATAATCCAGGTTGCCATCTGTGAACAAATTGTGCTCGATGGAAATATTGACACCTATAATTTAATACGGACAGGGATCAGGGTGGCTGGAGCAGATGAGCTGTTCCTGCTAAGTTGATATTTGTCTCCCAAGCCTGATTATCAGGCCGCGCTAACTGGGAGTGTCTGTTGTTTAGAAACGTGTTTTGGCAAGCTAAGCCTGGGTTGAAACCTTTAGTTTCTGAACTGAGTATCCTCGGTCAGCCACATATAACAAGATTACTAAGCATCTATGGAGATTCTGAGTCATCCAAGTCATGGTAGTCCAAAAGTGCTTTTTTGCAAAAGGCAACTGGACATAAATCCTTCCATTCCCACTGTCCAGTCGGAAGAAGCTTCTTGGATGAGAAGCGAAATGTCTTCAAAGAAAAACCAGAAAGTCCAGTTGCTAAGATCAAGTAAATTGATCCCATGGTGAGGGTAGTAGGGTGGCTCACCTATCTCCAAGAATATTGGTATTATTATTCTAGTTTCTCCCACTTTGGGCCTGCTTCCCATTCTACCTTCAGATGACTGTGGAGGAATCTTCTATCTTATGCTACTTTGACTAATTCAAAGCCTGAATTACAGAAGACGGGTTGCGTAGTGCAACCCAGGTCCTCCCATTTTCTATAAACAGAGGACAGGGACATCCTAAAAGATCTCTATAAATAGAAGGGAGAATCTCATGAATACTCTTTCTTTTTCTCTTATATGGATCCTTGACAGAGAAGAAGGAAACCTTAGTAGATTTGTAACCTCTTAATATGGTGACAGACCGTAAGATAAAAAATATCGGGGTGAATGTCTTTGGAGAGGACAGTTGATTTTATGTACCTTTCCTTAGAATATTCATCCATGCATCAAATTTAAGACATCCATCCCCTCTTAGGGTGGTCATCTTCCCAGGCAAAGACCTTTCCTGCCTTTATCAACTGGTTATCAATCAACTGGTTATGCTACTGGGTCGGACCTGTTCAGCCAAACTGATAGTAAAAAAAGCCGCCCAGCTGAGAGGATAAAAGAAAATCGCATGGATGGGTGGGAGGGTCACTCCTAGCTTTTCGTTTCTTCATCCTTTCAGCTGATTGGTGCATTGGGGCGCAAGCGTGCATTGGGGCGTGTGCGCACAGTCGATCACCCACCAAACTGGTAGTGGCACAGGTAGAATCCTTACCTGTGCAACCATTCAAAGATCTGACTGTTCTTTCTCTTTTCCCAGATGAGGCATTTGCTGCGTCAATACTACAATGGAAGCTACACCAGTAGCTGAAGACACCAGCTTTGCTTTCTGATTGCTCTCACACAGTCCGGTCTATTGGTATGCCATCTTGGGATCTCAGTCGGTTCCCAGAGCTTGGATGGATGGAAAGGCTGAGCGCTCCTGTTGACTTTCTCCAAGAAAAAGGGAACAAAGCTGCAACAAAGTCCTTCTATCAGGACAGTCTTGTTTGCTCCTTGCAGGTATCACTTTGATCCCAGGTAGTATGGAGAAGTAGCCTTAAAAAAGCCTTGATGATTTCCATTCGAGGACATTAGAAACTCCCTTCTCTGGGGGAATGAAGCACAACCGTATCAGCAAGGGCTTGAATTACACCAGATGATGTTGTTGTTGATGATGATTTGTACTTTGATGTGACCAGGAGTTCTAGTAAATGTTAATAAAAGTATTTGTATTGCATGAGTGGGAGTTTTCTTTTTGGAGTGCAGCGGATAAAAATGTAGTATCCATGTAGTATCTCTTCTTTATGGAGAACTTGACCAGCAAAGCAGCTGCTACTTCTGAAGTTCATAAGACTCAGAATTGCTTTCCTCATTTGAAGATGGACTTTTAAATGCGAAGAAAGGGATATTTGCTGAACTCAGGATGCATAATTTTCAAAAGACCATATTCCCACTGGTGATCCCACAGATTGACCGAATTAACTAGGCAAAACCAAAGAAACCACATTAAAGTGTAGAGTACCATACCAATCCAGTCAAATGTGGTTAATTCAGTAGACCATCAAGTATGACTTAATTTGTTATAAGATCCAGTGTCCTGTCTATAATTCAATGTGTAATGTATACTTGATAAACTGGTGGTAAATCCGCACTCCTGTTGATTGACAAGGAGCCAGTTTCTCAGGCTTCAGTCACTTCCCTGGCTATTTTTGTACCTGCTCGTCCAACAACCTTAATAGCTACAAAAATCAAGGTGTGTCCTTGTTCATTGCAATTTGAGGCTTCCAATGAGTTGAGGTCTCCTCATCTGACTGCTCGCTTGTGTTCTTGCAATCTAGTGGTTAGTTTCCTCCCCATCTGCCTTACGTAATCACAGGGGCAACTCCTGCAGGGGATCCGGTAGATTACATTGGAAGTACCTCCCACCTCCAAGCAATCTTTGCAATGCTTTGCAATGCAGTAGCCCAAAGAACACACTCTGCTAAAGAGAAGTACCCTGAGGATGGGCTCCAGCACGAACCTGAAAGCTTGGAAGACAAAACCTCTGGTCCTGGTAACTGATCCACACTGGATCCAGAGACATGCCTATTTGCTTCAATCTTAAGCCAGTCTTGTTCTCAACTAGGCATAAATCTCAGTTCGACATTTCTGGCCATAGAATGTTTATCAACAATTCAACAACAATTTTGTATCCAAGAATTTCAAGAGTATTTAGGATTTTTTAAAAGCTATTCTTGCTTTGAAATTATTATTTTTTAGAGGGGGGGAGTGGTTCAGTGGTGAGAAGATTATAAGGGAAAATGGCTCCATTATTTATGGATAAGACTGGTGAATACTAGTTTTCTCCCGCTAGGGAGAAAAAGGGTATTTTTCCCCTCTTCTCATGTTTATTTGGAGAGAAAGGCAATTCAGAAGCTTTGGGCAGTACAATAGCTCCCATTAGTTGCTAAGAGATTCAACAAGAGGTGGGTGGCATAAAAGAACCTCTGTGATAGCTAAATAATAAAGGGGAGATTCAAGGAGATTTTGATTAATCCTTAAAAAGAAAAAAAATCTGATCTGGAATGGATTTTTCAAGCTGGAAACAAAGTGCTTTCAACTGGGCTGCCTCTTCAAGGTCAGATGTTTCCACTTTCTCATGACCCAGGGCTGCCTTTTCAGACAATGCTTCCTATTCTTCCACAGGATGTCGAAGTTCCATAAAAGGTTCGTTTTTCTTCCCTGTAAAAAAAGGTAATGTGGTTTTCACCCTCAGTCTCAGAAAGCTTTTAAGTTCTTGAGGGGTTCTAGAAATTGTATACTCATATACTCATCTGGAGGGACTTCTTGAATTGATCAAAGAGTTGCAAATGAACAATAGATCTCTTTTGCTTTTCATGTCTTGCGTGTGATTTTGGTCATGTTGCATCTGCCTGGTTGCCCCACGTCCTTGAGTGAAGAAAGGGCTTCACTACATTGCTACAGCCCTGTTCGTGTCGCCAGATGTTTCCATTGGAGTTCCTTTCTTATTTCATTCAAAATTTTAAAATGTACATATATAATTTTTAGGGAGTCGTGCGCTGGCCTAGAGTTAGAGCTCTCTCCACATAGTCAGGAGGCTGTGAGTTCAATCCTAGGTAGAGGCAGGTATTTCTCTCATTCAGCACAATGAAAATACTGTATATCTGCTGAACAAAACTCTGCATTGGTGACAGGAAGGGCATCTGGCCAGTAAAACACTCTGCTAGCTCCATTCAGTTGCCCAGACTCCATCCCGCAAGGGATTATGGGGTCATTAAATGATGCTGATATATAATTTTTTGACTCACTCTTTGTTCTGACACAGCCGGGTTCCCAAAGAGCAAACACAGATAAACTCAGTAACTCAAACTTTCACAGCTTTAATCTACAAATAAACCCCTTTGTAGATAACAAATGGCTTGCAGTCAATTAGTCCAATTAGAAAAACCTTGGCAGAAATCTTCCAATAAACCAGAGTCTTTTAACACTCTTCTGTCCTCATGTTGGATGCAACCTCTATCCCAAGATCCAAAGATGGTCAAGTTACACTTCTGGAGTACTGAACATACCTATTACACCTTCCTCCTATTTACCCCACAGCAACAGGTCAGTGAGGTGGGTTGTGCAGAGAGTGTGAGACTGGTGCAAAGTCATTCAGTTAGCATTCATGCTTAGGGCAGGACTTATAGTTTCCTGACAAAGCTTGGTGCCTTAAACCACTAAACAAAAGTCTGAACCAGCTCCTTTCTTGCCACAGTTGCTAAGTGAATCACTTCAGTTAGTGAATCACAGTTGCTAAGTGAATCAATTCAGTTAGAATATGGTTGTTAAGTGAATCTGGCTTCCCCATTGACTTTGCATGTCAGAAGACTAGAAAATATGATTGCATAACCCCGGGACACTGCCACTGTCATAAATATGAGCCAATTGCCAAAGGTCTGAAATTTGATTATGTGACCATGGGCATGCTATAAAGGGTCATAAGTCTGAAAATTGATAGTCACTTTTTTCGTGCCATTGTAACAGGACGGTCACTAAAGGAACTATTGTAAGTCAAAGGACTAACTACTGTTGCATCCTTCCAGAATTCCCAGCTTTATAGGAAGTCAAATTAGAATAAATATGAAAGTAAACCTATGGTCCCAGGATTTCTTTGAAGCCTTCCATTGAAGTTGGACTCTCATTAATGGTAGAAAAAAGGGGGAAAGTAATGAAAGAACGGGCACTGCTAAGAATATATGATAAGGGTGGAAATGCCTTTATTCACACAATTCTGATTTAAAACTGCAAACTTCCCAAGGTCTGAATAGACAGGCTGTAAAAGAATTATGTGGAAAAGTAGAGAGCAGAATGGTATTTTTCATGCTCATTTTCTCCCTTTCAGTAATCTCTGTTTAAAGAAGAAAAGCCAGGATTGACGGCCTTGGGAAAGCAGTGGGAGACAACTACTGTCTGGTGACTATTTCACACGCTTGTTAAAAACAGCTTTCCTTGCTAGAAAGCTGGCAATGTGTTTGCAAATCACTTTTTCATGGTTTATGTTTCCAACATGTCCTGGGCTTACCAGGCCCTTTTAGAGTGATATCTCTTTATGTCTCTCACAAACAAACTAGTCTGTTTTATACCAAAGACCAGGAAGTAGCGCTCTGCAGAGCTGAATCACCAATTGAAATAATTCAATAAAGGAGAATATTTGTAGCTCGGGGTTGAGATGAGGGGGTCCTTGGTGCTCTCGTAGCTCTCGTAGCTGGCAGATGTTACATTGCCCAAATTAGGTAACGTCAACAGTGCTCATGATTGTCCCAAAGGGGTTTTTTCCAAGAGGCAACTGGACTTTGTTTTACCTTCAAGATGTTTTGCTTCTCATCCAAGAAGCTTCTTTAGCTCTTCAGAGCTGAAGAAGCTTCTTGGATGAGAAGCAAAACATCTTCAAAGAAAAAACAAGAAAGTCCACTTGCCTCTTGAAAAAGCACCTTTGGGACAACCATGACCTGGAATGACTGAGAATCTCCCTAGACATTTAGTGCTGGTGATGTTACCTAGTTTGGGTTATGAAACATTTGCAAGAAAACAGCCAAGTTCAGCAAGGAACCCTAAAACAACCCATTCCAGGTTCCTGAACCTTTTGAAGGATTCCTTCAATGCCCTTGGGAAATATTCTTTATTTTTTGTGAATAATAGTGCTGGCTCTGGGCAATATGCAGAGGGGCAGCAAACAGAATTGGTCATGTGTTCTCATCTCCACTCATGGCTGAAAGAGGCAATAACCAGATCTTACCCAGGCTAGGAAGAAAGCTCCCCTGTCCAATTGTAGGCTAGTCTCAAAATGTTCCCATCCTGAGAAAAATGATAGTGATAGAAGAGAGTATAGCTCAGGGTTGGAATGAAAGGTCCTTGGTGCTCTCTGAACTTGGTTGTTTTCTTGCAACATTAGCAATTTAGGTAACATCATCAGTGCTGGTAGGGAGTGGGGTTCATTACCAAACGTTTTGGTAATGAAGTTTGGTAATGAAGCTTGGCTGAAAAAAAACAACCAAGCTCAGAGAGTACCAAGGACCCCACAGAAAAATGATAGAGAATGTGGTGGCCTCAGAGCTCCAGACACATTGCAAATAGTATGAGCCAACTGGTTCCCTTTGGCTAGAATATGCTACTGAAACTGCTTTGGTAACCTTAGAAGATGATCTGTGCCAGGAATTGGGTGCTCTGCTCTTACATATCTCAACATATATATACGTTTTCTGTGCTGTACTAAAAGCCTCCAATACAGGAACACAATGTTGCTGTGAAAGTCTGACTCACAGATGAACACAATACAGAAGCCTGATGATGGCAGATGAGATTCTGCCGAAACGTTGCTACAACTTTAAAAGCACAACTATAATGACGTGGGAAAATACCCGAACAAAGCTATATTTCGCGGGTACTTACATGTATGGCATTCAGCTTTGTTCGGGTATTTTCCCACGTCATTGTAGTTGTGCTTTTAAAGTTGTAGCAACGTTTCGGCAGAATCTCATCTGCCATCATCAGGCTTCTGATTGTGTCTGTCTGTGAGTCAGGCCCCCACAGTTGTTTTAGTTTTAAATTTGGGGCAGCCTATTGCTGTGCCAGAATGGTTTTTTCTTCATCCTGATTGGTTGGGAATCTAGGTCTGTGTTTATTGGTCTTGGAGTTTGCTGTGTTCTGCTTGATTGGTGTTTCTAATATCTTCTGTCTGTTTAGTGGCTCTTTTTG